TATAATATTTCTATATAATACTATTTTTTTAACTTGGATATTATTTTAATAACAAATCATGGAATTATTATTTTATGTTTTGATGATTTTTTTGCGTTTTGGTTTCAATTTATTTGTGGAGAAATTTATAATTTTAAATTAATTTATAATTTTAAATTAATTTATAATTTTAAATTAATAAGTATAATTTAAAATATATTTTTAGAGTATTCAATGTATTTTTACAGTTTAAAATTATAATAGTGATATAAAAAATGAAAGTTATTTTCTTTTTTAAAATAATGATTTTTACACACAAAAAGAACAAATAAATGTTATTATTATTTCATTTTTGAAACAAATTGAATATTTTTGAAATGAAAATGATGAAATAATGAAATTATTTTGGATTGATTGTGTTGATTTTCTTCTTTTTTTCAAAGAGGAAATAATAGAAATAAGAATTCGCCAGATTATTTAAGTATTTAAAGGCTTAATAATGAAAAAAAAAACAAAATGGGTGGACTTTCTGGGTATCACATCATGATAGTTTCGAAGTATTTCAAAACTATCAAAGACTTTATTAACTTGGAGTTAGTAAGCAAGAAATTTAGAGGGAATATGGAAAAGTTTCACTTCAACCCGATTCCGTTAAATTACACAACAATTAGGTACTTTCCAAAGATTGAGACACTTCATTTGTGGAATAGAAAAGAAGAGAATTTTTTCAATGGGATTTTTATCCCCATTGAATATAATGAATATAAAATTGTATATAAAAATATCAATGATAATAAAGAAGATATAATAAAAAAAATATTTTATGCAATTATTATATGGTATAATGTGAATTATGGCACTTATGAAATGAATAAATATAAAAATTTCAAATTTAAAAATATTAGTTACACTGATAATGATAGAAAAATATATAGTGATACTATACCTACTAATGTAATTAAAATAGGTAATCAATGTTATAGTGATAATGTAGAAATAATAGAAATAATAATTGCAAAAAATGTTAAGATAATTGGTGAATATTGTTTCAATAGATGTATAAAATTAAAAAATGTTATAATACCATCAAGTGTGAGATCAATTATTAAATTTTTTTTTGTTTTATTTGTTATTATTTAATAAAAATAAAAAATAAATGAAAAAGTCAATTAATTTTCTGGAAATTGATATAATCAATTTCATCAATTTGGTTAAAACTCAAAGTATACAAAGAGGGACCTACGCTAGTTGGGAGTGTGATGATAGTAGTAGTAATGGGCGGGAGTGTAGTAGTGAATGCATGCGAGGGGGGGGCCTAAAGCCAGCCCGCCACCCCCACCCACCTCCTATAGTGTGGGTTTACTTATATAGTATGGGAGGGGAATAATGAGATCTCGTGTGATGATTGGCACGTCAATGAAACGAGTTTTGAGTGGAAATCAATAATGATATAAATAACAATATTTAACAAATGTTATATATAACAATACATATAAATAGAAATGACAACAAAATAATAACAATTTTATAAAAATAAATTTGAATAACAATTTTAATAACAATTTATATAAATAAACAACCCTACTCCAACAATTTTAAGTTCTTATATTGATACCCTAGTGGAATATATCAATAGGTTTTATATTAACCCTAGTGGAATATTCCACCATGTTTTATATTCAACCCTAGTGGAATATTCCACTTCGTAGCC